ACAAAAATAAGTCTTGAGAGTCTTTTAATGCAGGATGACGTCTATTCATGAAGTTATAATACTGTATAATTTAAAATATGGAGGCAAAAAAAAATGCCCTGTAAGAGTTCTTGTTTTTTATATCTTATTTATAACTAACAATTTGGACTTCCTTATACTCACAGTTCTGTGAAAAAAAAATAAGTCAGAATTGCAATGTATAAATGAAGAATTGTTTTGACGATGTGTGAGCTGACATTATGTAACTCACTGACTTCGAAGGGTACAACTGATGGACACTTCAGGCACCCATGATCCTTTGCACAGGGAAGTTGTTTGGCATCACAGACATTTACTTCACGGATAAATGTATGCATAGTATTTTTCTATACTACTGTAATATTTATACGAGTTAGAATTGGTACATTATTATGGTCAAAACGACATTGTACTTCAACAAAAATACTTTACAGCTACCTTTATCAGTCCATTCAAATATTTCAAATACATAGACACAATATCAATTACAAATACATATTACATTACATTACATACAGAAATATAGATTATATTTAACGTAAAAGACAATTGGGGGTCAACCAGTGTGCAAAATGTGCGACGAGGGTGCCTCCTTGATCGTCACGTTAAGACGCAGAAGTGTGTTCCAAAAAAAATTGTTTTGAAGGGATTAGGGCATAGGGATGAGCCCTTCTGAATAGAGTGCAGGGAGGGTTGTAAACAAGGAAGTTATTTTTACTTTCAACAACATCTTGTAAGATGCAGGCAACAAATGCAGTGAGGAGCGCTGTCATCAGAAATCACCTTTAAAAGATGAAAGGACAGTAAGACAAAGGTATCGTTTTCATCAGCGGACATTCAAACTAATGTTTTATTGTGAATATGAAGTTACATCGTTTTATAATATAATAAATAATAATTTAAATAATATCTATATATATGTAGATACAGAATTATAGACAGACAGACAGACAGATAGACAGATAGATAGATAGATGAAATAATACATATAAATCAGAATGTTAATGTAACATTTTTTATTAATTAGTTTTATTAATATATAATATTTTATATATTGTGATATAGATGTATAAAATAATCATATTTATCCAAAAGAAACCTCGCAAAATCAGCGGACATTCAAACTAATGTTTTATTGTGAATATGAGATTGAGCTGAAGAGTGAATGCTGTATCAGATGCAGGTAATCACACTCGCTCAGTCCATCTCTCTCTCATAAAACTCTACTCTACATAATACAGTAAACTTTTAATACAGTAATACAATAAGTGTTTAATGAAGTAACTCAACATTCCTTCGTTACTAGATCTAAAGTGACGTTTTCGAATTAGTAACGGAGGCTTGGACTCATCTGTTAAACTTTCAAACTAAGATTTGAATCCATGGCAGAAGCAAATAGTTCCATACAAAAAAAGCATTGTTAAAGACACTTTGTTGTTGTCTCTTTTTTATTTACACTTGTGCCATCAAACTGTTGTATATACGCAATATCACACTCTTATAGCTGTGAGATATGGCTGTATATCAGCACGCTGTGATTACCTAGAGCAGAGGTGTCCAAACTCGGTCCTGGGATGGGTTGCATAAACTGCGTAGACTAGTCTTAAAAAGTCATCTAATGTATTTTCTTTAAGACTGCTCACAACTTTTTAAAGTCAGTTACAAAAAGCTAGACTGGTCTAATGTGAATCCAAAAACTAAGTCTGAATTATTATGTGAGGTTAAATAAGACCAGAGCAGTTAAATTTTCACTTAAGATTTAATTTTAGACTGAACAGCATTAGATATCTTCTAGCTGTACTTGTACTACCTGCTTGTTGAGGCAAAAATAGACTCATTTTCAGACTCGTGAATCCAAAAACTAAGTCTGAATTATTATTATTTTTTTTTACAAATTATATTAAAATCAAGAATAAGAATATTATGAATAATAAAATAATGCTTATGAAATAGCAATTGAATTATTTTGGATAAATGTAAAAATGTGAGGGATATATATA